AAGAGCAATTTCGGAGGTCGCTGAATTGCCCTCAACGCTCGTAGACACCGGTTTTGGTTTGGCTGAACTTGTTTGAGCTCTTTTTTGTAGCCTTTCTGCCTGGGAGGTGTCAACACCAGCTCCCTGCCGGCCACGAGCAGAAGAGCTGGTCTCCGGCTGTACTGGCACACTGGGCACTTTGCGATTGGGGGTAAAATTATCCCGGTGTTTGTCCCTGGAGGACCGATCCCCTCTTGGGGCACAGTAAATCATCTCGCTTCACGGTCCGAGTGCCCGGCACAGATGCTGGAGGAAGCTTGGCAAGGCTGGGGGCATCCAGTTATCCCCTCTTACTGGAGAAGGGTGGGATGGAGCCAGCTCACTCCTGGGCTGAGCTTGGACCTGCCCAGGCTGGGCTTGCTTTGCCGCAGCTAACGATGACCAGACCCTGCCTGCAGTGATGAGCTATTGATTTGCTTTTGGCTCCATCAGGCTGGTCTAAAAGCCTCTGCCTTCCCCTTCCCTCCCTTGATGTTTCACTTTCCCATCGCTCTCCCTCCTCCAGCCAACCCGCATCCAAGCGGTGAGAAATCGGGGAAGCGTTTTCATCCCCATGAATGCAGTCGGTTACGTAAGAATAATTGGGATAAATGAGCTTATTTATCATGGCCCGTTCCATTTTAGCAGGGTCCAGGGCGATCGCCGGCTTGGGTTACGTAAAAGCCCGCACAGAGAATCTCATTGTCTGGTGGCAGCCAGCCGGGATGCAGGAGCTGCCCATGGAGAGGAGCCGGGGCTGGGCAAGGAGAGGACGGGTTGCTTGGTAGGACGTGGAGGTAGGAGGAAGATGAAGGGGTTTCTTCCTCCATGTGTTGAGGAGGGAAAATCCATTCCTTCATTCCCCATCCACCGCCTGCATCCCTAAACCAGCAGTCTTTGGTGTCTTCCTATAGCCATATAGTCTTCCACTGGTCCTTCCCCATGGGGACCAGGGCTGGAAACTCGCCTCCTTCCTCTTCCTCACCCCAGAAGGTGAAAACGTGACCTTGGTGGGGGAGTTCAGCTGTGCAAGTGTTTCCCACCCAGCTGCCGAAGCAGGTGCTCCTTGTTTTACCTCCTAAACCCTTCTGAGATGCCTCCAGAGGGGGGGATTTGGTTGCCAGTTGAGATTATCTGGTGGGGAACGGTGCTTGGTAGGAGCTGGGGGAGAGCAGAGGAGCTCGGGAGGGTTCCAGCATCTCCCCCGGTGCTGAGATTCCCCAGCCACCCGTGGGGATCCAGGGAACACCCCAGTTTCAAGAGAAGTTGGGGAGCTGGATGGGGTCCCCAGGGTATCCCCGATGTGGGCACTGGAGAGCTGAGCCGGTGCTGGGCAGCATTTCAGGTGTCCTCAGACAAACCGCCCAAGAAGGCAGGAGCCCGGAGAAAAACAGGAAATCCCCAAATCCAAACAAACACAGAAGAAAAAAAAAAATATCTGGGATTTTTTTTTTGGTTTCTGGTCTAAAATGTTGAAACCCTTGGGAATGCCTCAAGGTTTGTTGAGCAAAACATTCCTACCGTGACCCGCCGGCCCAGCCAGGCAGATCGGCATGGACCGCGGCGCCAGCTACGCCGTGTTTTGGGGAGAGCGCTGCCGGCGGGGTGTCCGGCGGAGCAGAGACAACTTCCAGCTTCACCGGCTGGAGCTCCGGAGCTCCTTGGCACCGGGTCTTGTGGGAGCTGGAGCGTGGAGGAGTTCGAAGAGCAAAGGGGCAGGTTACTGGAAGAAAGGGGGCTGCGGAGGGAGAGGCAGCCTTGGGCTCCTGGTTGTACAGCGCCGGGAAGGAGCGGTTTGTGCCGGTGGCCACGCTTGCTCCCTACCAGTTCCTTGGTGTCAGGGGGGATACTGGTCTGACTGGGCCATCACATGCCATCTGTAACCCCGCTGCTGCATGCTCCCTGCAGTTGTCAGGGTGGAAAGTGATGCAGGAACCTCTCGAGGGAGGTCACTGGGAGGCTTGAGGTGGCAACAAGCCGTGGTGGTGGATGCCGGCGAGGTCCCAGAGCAGCATGACTGGGGATGTGTCTCAGCCCAGCTATTTTTCTTTTTTTGGCCTTGCCCTTGTGTGGATAGCTACACCCTCCAAATGCAGAGCCTGGTATTGCCCCACATCATCTCCCTTCTGGTGCCACCGTACTCACCCAACCTCTGGTGCGCCCGTGTCTCTCATCCCTGGTCCTCTCTGGAGGAAGAGGGCTCAGGTCAGGGTCTCGGCTGCGCTCATTAACCATCCTTCCCCACCCTGGTTTCTCTCCTCTGTGATCCCCAGGCAGCTTTGTCTACTCCTGAACGCAGAAAACATCTTCCACTCCATGGCAGACATCCTGCTTCGGGAAGAGGACCTCAAGTTTGCCTCTACCATGGTCCACACCCTGAACACCATCCTGCTCACATCCTCTGAGCTCTTCCAGCT